CAGGTTTAAACAGATATTTCAGCGGCAGAAGGCCGTTGTGAGAGCAAGAGAGAGACAGGGCGAGACAGGGTGTAAAAGTAAAAGGGAAATGAGAGAATAAAGAGGTGATAAAATCTTGCCGAAGGTGGTATTATTGCTTTTTAAATTCCTGCACTTTCTACTGAAGCTGCATTTCCGATAAGAGAACTATGATGATAAATAGATAAGAAAGTGGCATTGTATTTATAGCTCTATAGAAGTAACGTAATAAAATCCCTTTTTGGAAATATAACGCAAAAATATTTCACAAAAAAAAATATATATATATATAATATCAATAAAAAGATACTTGTATAAAACAATTTTTATCTCTTAAAATTATATAGCAATCAATATTTTGATTACTTCTACATTTGTTGGTTACAATAACATGATATGTACGTATATGGCATATATGTTGGTAAACCATGTATTATTCTATCAGAACATTCTGTGGTTATTCTAGTCAAACAACTAGATCAATCCAATAAATTCTGACGAAATTGGTAGAACCAGTTGGATACAAATGCTAGCAGAATAGCTCGCTTCCGCTTTTGAAACCACGAGTGCCAATTTAGTTCGAGTCAGACCCTCACGCCATTGTTAAACAATATACATTTTTGGAGTTTATATAACAAACTCGAAGTACAGATTGTACGTTACAGAGAAACTGATGATTTATAACAGAAATTTGACAGGACTGTAAATTTTAAGTAAGATATCATACTAATATAACTGCAGCTTTCCTGATAAAAATATAATTTTAAAAACGTCATATATTAACGAGTTCTTTTGTGTCAAGTTTCGGCAGTGCTTCGATTTTTTTGCATTTATATCTTCGTTCATAAAAGTCAATGACAGAAGTATATTCATTCTTCGGAAGAAGAATGAATGCGTCGCAAAAGCAACCGGGAGCAACGGAGGATAGGGGAACTGGCTTACTTCCGGTTCGCCTATTCGCGCCACCATCCGGCACGAGCTGCATTCTCACGCTCATCTACATACTTGGCTATACATCAATATTCGGAACGGCCGAAAAACGGATCCCGCTTTGCATACTGGACCCCCCGCTTGTGCCGTTTCTTCTTTCGTAGAGATCCCAGTGGGACATCGCGTGGCAGATCCTGAGAAAGGAGTCGCGCAAAATACCCCGCGGACAACCGTTCAAGACTGCGTACGTGTCGATTAATTCATGAAGAAAATGAATCTCAACACCCTCGAGAATTGTAACGCGAAGCAATCATGCTAAATGGAGCATGAACACATTTGATCAAATTTCTTTTAATATTATTCATATCCTAAAACGTTCGCTTATAATGCGATTTAAGCATATACCATTGTTTTATTTATACATATATTCTAAATTCAATGAAGAGAGTCTATAAATAAAAGCAAAAAATCATTATTATGAGACATTTTTATGTTGAATAGTTACAGTCTTTTCATAAGAATTTCGGGCCGTAAGTTAAATCGATATTGAAGTCGGAAACGCGTTTTAACCGTAGACACAACACGCGGTTAGTTGCTTTCTCGCAAGAGACTGACTCTTTCATTCTTTCTCGAAATTGTTATTCTTTACAAAAGATGACGGACTGTGGCGCAAGCGGTGCATGTGTACGAGCCTGGAGGAAGGAATGTGGATTGCGTAATTTAAATAATTCAGGAATGACCCTGACCTCGGTTAGGCTACGGGGTGACCTGCAGCCGGCGATTACAATCACAATGCACCGCCAAGTTCTCAGGGTAAGACAGGTAGCGCCGTCTGACCCGCATACATTAAATCGAAATCATCGGGTCTGCGCACATCTACATATATAGATATAAACATATGTATACATATGGAGGAATAAAAAATGTCCGCAAAACAGACTACGGTATACTTGTTAATTAATCATCATTTTAATACTTTAAAAACATTACTCGAGTGTGTTTTTCAACTTTATCTGAAATACAGAAAAAAAAGGTAAAAATAGAGAATAATAGAGAAATAAAAAAAAAAAAATAATTGAATGAAAAAGTCAAATGCCGATTTGAACTTTTAATAGTTGAATTCGAAGCGGCAACGGTTGCATCATTCCCTTGCATTGCATTATCATCGTGCTGAAAGCAGAAACTGGACTTATTCTCCACGGTACACGTAGACCGAAAAGAACCGAATATTTAACCGGCATGCATTTAAATGGCCCGATTCGCAACATTAACATAACGGTAAGCAATTCCGGATGTCAAAGCTTGACTACGTACTACGTACGAGGGTACACATCTTGCCCACGGAGATCCCACGGTGAGAAGTTAAATTGTTCGGCCTTGAAATCAGCAATTTCGGATATAAGAGGATAGCTGATGTTTTCTAAATGACATGCAGGATGCACACCGCGTGGAACTCCGTGAGAAATTACAACCGATCTGCTCGCTGGATCAAAGGCTTTTCGACAATTGGAGATATGCAAAGTAGGATTCACAAAATACGCAGCAACCGTTTGCCGTTCGTACCGTGTACGTATCGGTTATAGAAAGATACGATACGAAACCCTATGCAAATAATATAAGAGACAGCATAGAGAGAGAAAGAGAGAATTGTGTAAATCTAGCTGTAAACCTATAGCCTTCATATATTCATAATTTATTACTTCATTAATATATTTGTTAAACATTTCTTAAAATTTGTTGTAAATTTTCCAGATAATTTTGCTTATTATGGAATATCAAATCAGCGAAATATAAAAGAATCTCGGAACAAATCAATGTTAAAATACTTTTTCACTAAATTTTTCACAGCAGCAATTCAGAAACCAATAATTCCCGCTTCAAATTATTTAACAAATTTATTATAAAAGTAATAAATACGTAATACCGACATATTTAGTATTATATAAACATGTATACTTGTAATTAAACTCGTTTGTAATTTATTTATGAATTCAAATGACATACTGTTGCACTTTATAAATGACGGCGCAATTAACATTTCCATTTCATCGACAAAATTTGTTATACATTCAATGCGTGATGTTAGTAACCATAATCCGGTAATTAAGTAAATATACAATCGTGACTAGCTATTCACAGAATTTAGCTGATTTAACAATTGGAATATATCGCGGTAAATTATTTATTTATAAAAGCTAGTGTAAATATAATGTCTGTAGGGAATGGTTTTTGAACTTTTAAATGGAGTTATATTTTAAATATTTTAGTTTAAATTTATATAAAAACGAACATATAATAATATGTCTAAATTAATGTGCTCACTGTATTAAATTTAAATCAGAAACAAGACTGCTTTACGCATCGTAATAATAGAAAAATTTATGCGTGTCTACAGGGCATGTTACTCGAGTTAGTTGGATTATAGTTATGTTAGTTGAGTATAAATTTATATTTATTTAATCACATCACACGGAAAGAACGATTTTGTTAAAAGATTTAAAAATTTTGCTAAATACAGATCTGAAATAATTTTTTTGTTGAATCATCAAAATAATTTATTGGAGTGTTAAAACTGATAAGTATTGCTATAAAACGTTTTAATATTCTAGCAATCATTTTAACTTTCGCACAAAATTATTTTAATTATTAAACAAAAATTAATTTCAGATCTGGGTTCAGCAAAATTGTTCTTTCCGTGCAATATCACGCGAATTATTCACGAACAATTTGGTATATATTGATCGTATCGCGTAAAATAAGAATAAACTGAAAATATTTCCGATCAACGACCGACTTTTTATAAACAGTGCTCTGCTAAAAATATCCAATAGCCGTCATTAATAATGTACATCTAATAAAACGATTTTAATCGAATCCATCGCGAATCTTTCAAATAATAAAAACCTATCAGAAATTTATCGAGAACGGTTTATCGAAAGTCGCGTGTACGTCGAATATCACGTGAGAATTAATTGAAAAAGCATCTCATCACACATGTCGATTTTAATTAATTTAAAAACGTCTCATTTTCGCCAAACGACGCGACACAGCACTAATAATAGCACCCAATCGAGATTCATTGACGAATAGCGTGGCTGGAGCAGAATTAACGTTTCGATTCTCGGAACTAAACGGGCTGAAGGATTGTAAGCTGGTATGCAGATGAGCCGACATGGCCGACCCCGGAGGCGGATGTTGGCAGTCTGCAGCTACGTAGACAATAGGCCAGTGCCATTATGTCCGTCGAATCCTAAAACCCCATAGAGTCGTTCTTCTCTGTCTATTATCCCGCTGGTGGCAGGCCACATTGTGTATCCGGCCTGCCACGGGACTACGGCCATTGTCGGTCCACCTAATTATTCGCAAATCTTCCGCTCGTTGCCGCTAGCTCCCATCCTCTGACTCGCGAAATTCCATCGCTTCTAAAGCTAGCCCGGCTTGGTCGCGATTTACCCGATCTCTCGCACCCCCTCGTTTTCCCTACTTAATCAGATTTCCGCGAAATCAGATATTTAATGACTGATAATGTACTCTCGTGCTCCCTCTTCGTGTCTCTTTCTCTTTTAATCTTGTTTAATAATATTGAGTTATTAATCGTTTTGAGTACACAAAAAATGAGCCAGGATTGTATACACATAGGGGACATTTTTGGGCGCAATAAGTCAACACCTCGTAAAAGACACGCTTATTATATCTTTCCCTACAATTTTTTTTTAAACTACTCCAGTCTTATTTCACGAAGAACTTTCATTGTTAAAAAGCGTAAGAATAATATTTTCTATTAGGTTGATTTTATACTTTTATTTCGTAAAAATAATGAGATTTTTACGACATTATTATTTGATTGTGCGTGGATAAGTTGCAAGTTTATTCTTTATTGTTAACGTAAACAAAATCTCGGAAAAGAGTGTATATTAAAGGCCTATAACTTGGCAGTTACGAATTTATACACATCTTATTGTTTCATTACTTTAGAAACATATATAGTGCTTTTTTAACAAAAAAAAAGATAAAACACTTCCTTTTTTTATGTAGATTTAAAGCAGACTTACCTCTGGATCATTTGATTCCGCCCTCTTATACGTAAACAAAGGAGCCAACTTGTCATAGAGGTTTACGCGTTCATGAAGATCTTTGAATGGATTTTTAGTACTAAAGAAATCGAGATCGATGTCTAGGATGTACGGAGTATCTTTTTCAGGAAGATATTGGCGCAATGCTGAACTGACGGCTGTGAAATCATCCTTCTGTAACATAAATGTGAAACAATTCATATTATAGTCGACGCCAATTTTCATGTTAGTATACCTTTAGATTAATTATTATAATATTTTAAATATTATATTAAAATTTTTAAATTTAGTTTTTTGATGCTATCGAATGTTTTTCCCAACTTTCCTTTAATTTATAAAACTTCTATGTATTAAATATTTAAGCGCATAACTACAAATAGTAAACAGTGACTCGCGTAGTTTTACAAATTTTCAATATTTTCTATATTTTTCATCACTAATGGTCGTACTATTTTGGTTATTTGTCACTGAAAGCGAGGTTATTCACTGGAAGCTATCGCGTGATGAAACACGGGCATTCAGTTCTGCGAATTAGCGACGCTATATTACTCAATCCTTTTTTTGACGCTGTTCGCTGAGCGCTGACATCACTGGCGAAACGTTGACGATAATTACCAATAAAATGATCGATTGCCGATGTTATATCGACGACCCACGGTCCAATTTTCAAACGGGATTTCACCACCATAGGAACACACGGGGCGGTCGGCGCGGAGAGATCGGTGACGTGCGCAACCGTTCGTATGAACCGGATATTGTTCGTAGCGGGGCAAAACGATGCCGCCCGCGTATAGAGGGTTTTTTGTGACGCGCAAAAAACAATGACTGCACTCGAATTAATTCTGTTAGAATTGATACTCGGACCCGGCACTGGGATCGCAATTTGCATGCGTTCACAACAATGAAATACAACGGCGCGCGCGGGGTGAGCTGCAATACTATCGCGAGGAGAAGAGGAAAAAGGGAGGAGGGGAAAAACCAACAATCAGACTGAGCAGTGGCTCTCAAAGCTTTTGTAATGCTTCCGATGCGTTGGTAATTTTTTGAAAGAACATTTCACGACCGAATTGCACGAATAAAAAAAATGCTAAAATGTAAAGAGAGATAATAAAAAGATAAAATATATTATACCAAAAATATCTTTATCTTAAGATAGAATATTTTTTGACAATTCACATGACATGTTTAGCTCATAATATCAAATTTTTAAACACTTTTTTAATTTTACGTGATGTTTAGCGTTTGCTATTTTAATATATTTTTTCCATCAAGTTTTTAATTTAATCTAAAATTTAAAAAAGGGTAATAATTTGAAAACTAATTGAATTATCTATTTCTTAATAGATATAAATTACGCAATGGTCACAAAATGCTAGTCAAATTCAGCAAAAAATTAGCATTCTATCATATTTTCTAAATATTTCCTAAATATGAGAAGAGAATCTATCATGCTACCAATATTTTAATAACATAATGTTAAAAATAATTTGTCATTAAATATTATGGATATGCGCTTGAATTACGAATAATATAGCTCGAATGCAGCCGCAGAACTCTCTGAAGCGAAGCGATTAATTTTTTGTGCTCCTGATCTGCCACGTCGGCTGATAAGAGCGCTCGTTTTGCGCAACCTTCACATCACGCTCTGCAGATGTTCATCGGTCTTGTGTCTGATTTAATGCGACCGTACGATTTCTGAATCAGACCGCTTGCAAATCCAGTTGACGATGATGTCAACGATGGCAATGCTCGTAAATGTGTTTTTGATTAGAATCTTCCACAAAGAAATATCTTTTCTTCTTCAACGATGAGTCCACAGAATTTGTACACAATTATTTTGTTATATATTGCGTTATTTTCTTATCGTTCTCGTAAAGAGTATAATAATCATAATACTTGTGCAAATGACGTTGGAATACCACAAGTGGACAGACCGCGGCAAGACACATAACTGCAGGAAAGTTTGCGATATATGTTTGAACGATTTTTTAATTGTACTCTTATCTCGCGAATTTGTACGAGCGACAAGCAAGGCTGACAAAGCGAGACGCATATGCACAAAGACGTGCGATATTTCAGTCGAATGATCCATAAGGAAATAACGAATAATTCCTTTTTTTGGTCGACGAATTGTCTTGTAAATTATGTTGAGAGAGCGCGACAAAGGAAAGGTTGCGAACTGTATACAACGGCAAGTATATAATATATCGAAGGAATTCCCCGTGTCTTATTGTTTTTTAAGTTGATCTCCGACAGTTTTTCCTTCTTACTTGACTAATGCCTCGCAGGCACGCATTAACATTTAAAATTTCCCTCATATAAGTTCTCCATTACACGATATGCACGACATGCGAACAAATTGCATATGCGCGTTAAGAACTTTCCACTCAATACAGTGATTAATATTTTCAAACGAAACGTCATTACGCTATACATATATTTCATTCGCGATAATAGCTCTAAGTGTTCAATGCTGTTGTATAATTTATCGCGTTAAGTATTTTCCTTATCGAACGTTAATTTTTTTACGATCATCTTCGGATTTCAGCTCCAATCCACATTATAAAATTACATGAGCAACAAGAGTAAAATTTATATACGATTTATAATGGAAACGTACTCATTATAAATCGTGTAATTTTTAGACTTATTATTCATGTAATCTGACATATTTTGTTTACAGCGCACGACGTTGTGTTAATTTGTTTCTGTCAGTTGTGTGTGGCGTATCTTTTATTATCACGTACGAGATAAATGTGATAAAATACTCCACGTATTATTAACAATTACCGATTATAATATAGGAAAACGCTCAAAGAGGAATGTCATTGCCGGCTAAATTTAAACCGTTCGAGCGCGATAGTCGGACGTTGCACCCGGCGTAAGTGCAATAACACAGTAATCCGTCGACTTCGATTTCGGCAGATATTTTCGTCCGTGCATCAAACTTAAAATATGGTCGCAGCGTCATTTTCACATATGTATGAATTATGAAACAGGATTTTTACAATATATGTTACAAAAATACAGCATTCGCTATAAATTATTTGAATACAAAATGCAAAAAAAAAATGAAAAATAAAAAATTAGCCTCAATGTGTTAAAGATTCATACAATTATAACTTTATCATTAAAAATTAGTAAATACGATAAAATAATAATATACGATACATATATGAGGCACTAATCATGAATATTTTATAAGTAAAGTTATATTAATTAATACGATCAATGTATTCAAGAGAAAATTTCTCACTATTCACTACTTTCAATAAAAAGGATGCCCAAGTGATTTTTATTGTAACAGATTGAGCTCTCAATGTACAACGAAGCAACATTTGTATAATCACAAATTATCTACTTCTTCAATCCGATACGCATTCGCTCGCGAGCAATGCAATGAGTCTGCATATAGCGAACATTACGCAAGCGACCGAAGTGAATATCCAAGATTCGACGCAGAAGTCACGTTTTTATGGCGTTCCCGCTGACCCCGCGCTCAGACCTCGCGCACGTCGATAATTAATTAATACGTGTTACGCAACGCGTGGGCGACGCCCACGCTTGTTGCTCGATGAGGCTCGTATACATATATATCCATTGAATTAGTAGAATTTCCAGGCACACGGTTTGCCCTGACTCGCGACGCTGGTCGTCTTTCAATCGCGCGCGCAAATCCACATCCGCGACACGCGCAATCAACGGCGCCGCGTGAGCTCGAGATACGTTCAGTGCGTACGGTGCAGCGATCGCTCGACTGCCGATCCTGATGCATTGTTCTTGCACATGGCGAATTAGTCTCACGGACGGGGCCGAGTGTGCGGCAGACGGTGTGTTAATTAAAACGATACCCCCCGTCGGCACGCGCGAGAATTCGAATTTCGCACATATGTCAAACCTGTGCTCCATACACCAGCCGTATTTCCCTCACGTACGACACATTTTCCGCTACGCGTAAATTAATTTACTCTTAAATGTCAAATTGCAGTCAACTCCGACCTTTTTCACAGAACAAGTGTGGATTACTTGTGTAATATCATATAAAATTCTTGTATGCTATTCTTGCATTAAAGCCTTCTTGAATTAAAGTTTCCTTCTTCTAGCTTCTAGCAATATAATTTGTCGCTCGTTTATTTTTCTACTTATATAAAACAGCGTTTAAATTCATAGAACAAACATAAGAGCATTCGAATAGAGACAAATCTGGACAAGGAATTAATAAGATAAAAGTTGGAAAGTATATTCTCGACTCCGATCGGACTCGTATGTTTCACGTCCGATGACGATGTGTCTTCGTATCTATACAGAAATCCCGCCCGTACAAATGCCGTCGGTGCTCGTAAAGACGTCAAGTCTACCCTCTCTTCGATCAACGTCGCACGGCACGTTCGAGTACGTTGAGGAGCTAGCATACGGCGGCGACGTTCGTCACGACGAGTCAGCACGTTTTGTAGGAGGGCTTCGTGGACGGGCCTTGCCTTGGTGCTCAGTATGCAAGCTCAGTGGTGGCCGCATCCGGTAGGTATGCACTCGCGCGCGCAAGCTCGGAAACTCATGTTGCATTATGTATCCGTCTGTCGATACGGGCACCACGCGTCAGCGCGATGATAAGAATAGAATAATAGAATTTTCTATGAACCTCTCCTGTTGCCGGGGCGGCGTTGAAGGGAATAGACACTATTGCAAAAGGAACAAAATATCCATAGTTCTCTTTCTCTCTCCCTCCCCTCCCCCCCCTCTCTCTCTCTCTCTCTTCCTCTGTCGGCTCACTGACGAACGACGACGAGCCGCGTTTACCCGCTGCGTCTCGTGTGTATCTCCTCGGGTAGATCTCGCCTCGTACGCCTTTCTTGTCGATATCGACGCTGAAGTGCCGTTAAAGTGCCACCGCGTCAATGCTCCGTCGAAAAAAGAGTTAGTCGTGTTTCATCTTCTTGCACGACTCAGTGTTCCATCTTCTTATACGCCGCTTCCTTAGGAAACGAGTGGATCACGTGCGGAATAGGAATTTTTTCTCGAAAAGAGAAAGGTAGAAATAATTCTCTTTATAAACAGAAATATCAATGCATTAATCTAAATTGTAATAATCATACTAAATACCGCGAATATATAAATGTTACAATAATAATTATATAACAATAATAAATTTATTATAAAATAATAAATTAATAACA